TCAAACACTTGAGTTTTTCCCATAGGGCTGTCTTGGTAAGCTGTGTTCAACATCACAACAGTTTCTGCGGTGATTTTCCTGAGCAGGAAACAAATTTCACAGCCACATGCTGTTCTCTTAAATCAGCCATCACAAAAAATGAGGTTCGAGCAAAACTGCTTTCACAAAAAAATTCACTGTGACCATAGAGAACCTTCCCAGGGAATGCCACTGGGTGCACTAACTCAGAGCAAGTTGCTTGATGCTTGCCTGAGGGAGGGGTGGGGTTTCTATGAAAGCTTTGCTCTGCCCAGCACAATCCAGGGTTTTTGGGGTACCCCCTAATATGATCAATGACACTGAGTTGTGCATGTAGAAGTGGTTGAATTGGCGTATATTTGGCTAACATTCCATTTTACCAACATGATGCAAAGCATCAGGGAAAAAGAGGAGACATTTGGCAAGATAGACTGACAATGTGAGGCTGCAGCAATGGGTTCAAACATGGCAATGGCTGTGAGGATGGTGCAGGACCGGGCAGTGTCCAAGTCCATGTGCTGGTGTCCCCAATATGCTCCGGTCTTCACATGTTCCCATACCCAGGTGAGCTAATCTCGTGGGCAGAATGGCCAAGGGTTGGGTACAGCTCCAGCTCGTGACGTTGAGGGTACCTGATGAGCTCTGCTACATGCTCTGAAGCTGTGACGGGGCTGCCACAGGTGGAAGTGTGTGCACCTTCAGGACTTCACCTAGTGCCCATCTCTCCAAATGCCTGCTTCCCTCCTCTGTGGCTCGCTATCTGCCTCAAACACTGATTTCTCTTGTCCCCCACTGAAACCTGGAAACTGTGCTTACTGAATCCGAAACTCCCAAGGAGGGACTGAGCATCTGAATCCTGTGTTTAGTCAGATTTGACATTCACCGAGAGAGGTTCTTTGCATTGCTAGCAAGGTGAGGAATTCCTTACTGGGCAAAGTGAAGCAAAATGTCCAGCATCTTCACCCCACCCACCCACTCCCCTCTCAATAGAAAACAGGTCTCTAGTGACCAGAATGGGATTACAGAATTTGGGGATGAATGGGAATCAGGTAAAATGGGTGGGCACCCAGGCCCTGGAGCTGGGATGCCTGCATTCACATCCTACCTCTGCCACTCACGATGTGGCTTTGGGCAAATCCTATTACCTCAATGGTTAAGCAACCGGCTGCTAATGGAAAGGTTGGCGGTTCAAACCCACCAGTCACTCCGAGGGAAAGATGTGGCCATCTGTTTTCCATGAAGATCATAGCTTTGAGGACTCTATGGCCAGTTCCTTTTTTTTTTTTTTTAATTTTATTGGGGGCTCGTACAACTCTTACCACAATCCATACATACATGCATTGTGTCAAGAACATTTGTACATTTGTTGCCATCATCATTCTCAAAACATTGCTTTCTGCTTGAGTCTACAGCCAGTTCTAATCTTTCCTGTTGGGCTACTATGAGTTGAACTGACCAGTTGGCCGTATGTTTTATGCCGTGGCTTCTTCGCTGTAACAAAAGTATCATAATGCCTGGTTCTTTGTTACTGAGTCAGCTCAACACAGCAGATTGAAAGGATACCAGCTCTGGCACCATTTTCATGATCATTGCATTCCACTGAACAGTACGAGTAGTGTGTTGTGATCCACGGGATTTTTACAGACCAATGTTTGTAAACAGATCACCAGGCAGTGATAAGATGCGAGGAAGAAAACCCCAAGCCGACCCAAAGCATCAGACGGAGAAGTGGAGGAGGGAGTGCTGGTCGACCCTACGCACCTTAACACGCATGCGCACGTGTCGCGCGGGGACTCCCCAACCCCAGTGCCGTTAACTGTATTCTGACTCATAGGGATCCTATAGAACAGAGTTGAACTGCCTATGTGACTGCCAAGGCGGTCCATCTTTATGGGATAAGACCGCCTCGTCTTTTCCCTGCAGTTCGACTGCACGGAACTTAGTGAGCAGCCCATCTGGACACTTCCCTGAAACTTGTCCACTAGAGGACCCTGCAGGTCTGTGAAATACCAGCGGTGTCGCTTCCAGCATCACAGCAACCCAACGTCTACTGTAGCATGACAAATTGACAGATGGGTGGTGGGAGGCAACTAATGGTACTGACTTTACATGGTTGTTGTGATGGTTAAAGAAATCAACACACACAAGGGCCTAGGAGACCATCAGGTACATGTTGGCCATGCTAAGTATTAGCTATTTTAAAACTTCAGAGTATGAAACATTCCCATTTGACCTAAACTTCGGATAACCCTTTCTTAGATGAGGCGACCAAAATCTAGAAGGTTAAGTGGCTTCCCCAAGGTCATACAGCAAGCGATCAACAACAGCAGGTCTGTCATGGGAACCAAGGACCCAAGCCTAATTTTGCCTGTGTTCTGAATGTGGGGACTTGGTCTCCTGATCATCTGGGCCCCAAGAAGGTGGGCTGCATACTTCTCAGCACCTGTGGGTTTTGAATAGGTGGTGGCGACTCATCGTCCACAGCTATAGGCCCAGCCTAAGTCAAAGCAACGTGACTATGGTCACATTTTGCTCCTCCCCTTTTCCCAAGAATCAGCTCTAAAGCTCCAGGTCCCATGGAAACTCAGATTCACGGTCGGCCTCAGCCTGCCTATCGGCATGAGGTGCAATCCTGCTAGGACTGCTCCATTGATAACAAATGGAGTTTAGTGGAAGCTTGGTCCCAAGATTCGCCCACTGTGGCTCCAAGCCAAACCCCCACCCCCAGTGGACTGAGGAGGTGAGAGAGATGGTTCATGCTCTGTTGCCAGGCTGTGAGGTCCGCTTAGGAAAGGACAGAAAGACTTCCGGCACCACTACTCTCAGCACCAAGCACAGTGCCAGGGGCTTTCCATAAGTGAGGTGTGATGGGGGGGGGGGGGGGGGGGTGCCTGAGTATATCAGCTCAGGGGCATCTCTGATCTGCAGGAGCCATTTGGCATCTATTTTCCAGGCCAAAGGGAGGAAGAGGAGAGCTTGGAATTAGGGCTTCAGAGACTTCCGAAACCTGTTTCCACAAAAAAAACATAATCCAAACCTGAAAGAAATCACCAAACCAGGTGCCATCAAGTTGGCTCCCTGAGTATTTCCGAGTGGAATTGTGCAGCCTGAGGTTTGCCGGTGGCTGTCATCTGTCGGAAGCCGATGGCCGGGTCTTTCTTCAGGGCGCCTCTGGGTGGATTTGAACCACCAAGCTTTCAGTCCATTGCCAAGTGCTTAACCACATGCCCTACTCAGAGAACGCAAAGCTAGTATCACCCTCATGCAGTCTATTCCACAGCTAGTCAAAGAGCAGAGCCCAAAGAGTGAAGAATTGAGCGGCAGCTCCCCCTGCCATCCAGAGATCGTGGATGACACCCTGTGCGACAGGGGCTGCTCCTTCATTAAATCTTTGAGGAATCTTTGTTGAGCAGCTACTATGTGCCCAGCACCATACTAGGAGCTGGCACTGGCGTGGAGAACATGACAAAGAGAGTTGACCATTGAGTAAAGGAAGATAGAAAATTGACTTTAATCAATCTACAGTGAAAGTCTCACAAGCTGGCGGGGTCAAGCACTGGGTTAGAATCCTCCGAGGTCTCAGACATGCCCGTGAGGAATTTCTCACTCTCCCCCTCAGCTCTGCCTGGCTGTGCTCTGCAGTCAGACTCCTCCTGGCAATCGATGCCAACCAGTAGCCCCCAAACCCGCAGGCCTGGAGTTTGGCAATCCTGATGGAGAAAACCTGTCTCTCTCTGAACATCAGTCACTAGAGCAAAGTCGGTGGGAGATTCTGATAGGCATTCTTAGACCACCAGCCTCTAGGCTTATGGATGGACTCCAAACCTGGTCTAGCAAGGGTGATCTGTAGCTCCCCATGGCCCCCAACACTATGTGAAATGGCAGAATCCCCAAAGGACGCTCTAGGAGAGTGTGTAGAAAGCAGCTGTTCATGTTCGTCGCGATGCGTTGGTTCAACACTCACGGAGACCGGATGGTATCTAGAAGGAAGCCCTGCCCGATGCTGCGCCATCTTGGTGATAGTGTGTTTGAGTCCACTGTTGCTGCTACTGTCAATCCATCTCGTTGAGGGTTTCCTTCATTGAAACAAATATTCTTTATCAAATACCTTGTCTGCGCCATCAAAACAATGGCAACGGGTATTTTTAACGGGTTTCAAAAATAGAAAACTTGGCTCCCTCTGCTGGTTGGAAGTAGTGGGTTTTTCCAAGTTCAGCACTACTGTGTGGCTGAGGGGAGTTGGGGGTGGCGTCCTCAATCCTCCACTCATTGTCTGCCTGGACTGTGCTAGGCATGCTTTTGAAGAGCAGGGGGGCGACCTGCTCCTAAAATTGCCAAAATGCTCCAGAAGTGCCACTGGTAAAGCCGATGACAACCCTTTGGTCCCTCTGGAACTTGCTGCCCGGGACAAAGTATTTCTGTGATACAGCTGCCAAAATGTATCGTCTTCACTTTAGCCACTTACTTTGCAAATGGCCATTATCCGGAACTCAATGAAGACACCTAAGTAGAGAGTCTCTTTTAGCTATAAATTACCAAATAACTTAAGAGGTTGTGTTTGCATTCCTCTTCCCGAGAGCCCATCCACTTTCTTACGGAATCCTCATCGGCTCAGCCCGCTGGACACAGGTCATTTCCTTAGGCTGGTGTTTGCTTAAGTGACTGTACTACCCTCCACCGCCCAAGGCAAAGGATTCCGATTAATTGGAAGTTCGATGAAGAGAAAATGTATCTAAGATCTAATGGTTGGCTATCCTTGCTTGGAGAAATTGCTCGTCTTTTCAGTGAAACCCTTAAATGTGAACGAGAGCTCAGGCTAATACATCTTGTATAAGGAGGACGATGATCAAAGCCAAATGTCAAAGCACCCTCAAGAAGGGAGGTGCGATGAACATCTCTGAAGAGCCACGGTTCCCTTGACAAGCAACACATTCCTGGGTATTTCGAATCATTCAGAGTGAAGTAAAATAGTCGAGACAAAGAACATTTTAAGTCAGATTTAGTTTTTTAAAAATCAGATTTATTTACAGCATACAGAGGTAGGCTACAGGGCTGACTGGCCTCTTTTTTCAAAAATGTAGCAGTCCTTACAGACAAATAATTATTGCTGATTCAGCCCATAATATCATCCCTCTTCAAGTAGCAACACAGTGACTAGCCAACATTTTATGAGCACCTTTTATGGGCATCATATTCACAGAGCGATGGGTCACCGGCTTGCCCTCAAGGGGCTTCCAGTGTAGCTGATGAGATGAGAAACGCACAGAACAGACCCAGAGAGCCGGCTCCACATCCACACCTCTATCCCAGGGGCAACCCCTGGCAGATGTCATCCCGGGTTTGAACAACGAGTCGTAGGAATAGCACTTATTTAGTATACATTAAGCTGCGGCTTGACAGATCCACAAAAACAAATTCTTAATTTATTTAGGCTATATTTATAGTCATTCATATTTTAACTCAACCGGAGTGTTTTTTAAAAAGAACGCAAAATCCCAAGCCAGCTGTGCCATCATGATTCCCTCCTGAGTGTGTTCTAGAATGTCTCTACTTCCAGATCCTGGGGTCAGGGTCAGTCGTTCTTACTGCTAAACCGATGGACAAATTCTGACAGCGTGTAGACAGCTCCCCAGCCCACCTCAGGATTCATGCTGATAAAGTCATCCAGGTTCATTTTGGAATCTAGAAAAATACATGAAAAGGATTTCGACTGACAACAGAACTTGGGTTGAACAGAATCTAATATACCAATACAGGAGACCAAGGAGAGATGGGGGGCGGGAAGGGTGGGGCGGGACACACATGCAAATGGATAAGGGGACAAGATTGATTCTGCAGTATTCGTCCCCAAATGCCTAGCTTCAATCTAATCATGATAAATATCATACAGATTGAAACGGACTGACACACTACACAATGGCTAAACTCTTCCAGCCGGTAAAGGCTGTGACAGACAAAAGAAACAAATTGCCCAATTTGGAGGAGACTACAGAGACTCGGAAATAGATGCATTCTGGGATCCCGAGTTGGACCTGAGGGGTAACATGTGACATTTGATCATGCCCAGAATGGTTCTTGTAGCTGATTGTTATTGTGGAGTGGATTCCAACCTGCAGCGTCTTCACAGGCCACAGGGCAGAGCTGCTCCACAGGGTTTGCATGGAAGAAACTTAACAGAAGCACACTGCCAGCCCTTTCTGCTGAGTGGGTTTGAACCACCCACCTCTGGGTCAGCATGTGACCTAAAACCAGGCGCACACCTAAGGACCTTAAAGAAGCTTTGGTGGCGCTGCCTAGTTAAGAGTTGGGCTACTACACAAAAGGTCAGTGGTTCAAACACACCAGCTGCTCCGCAGGGGAAAGATGAGGCCGTCTGATCCCATCAAGATGAACAAAGCCTTGGCAATCCTATATAAGGTCAGTTGTTTGGAACTGTCTTGATGCAATGGTTTTGAGGTAAGGACCTTAAGGTCTAAAATGAATTAATAGTGCTGTATCAGTATTACTAACTTCTATTTAATATTAGCATGTGCAACATTAAATGTCCTGGTTCCAAATACTGTACAATGGATATGTAGGCTTGCACATTAAGGCAATCTGAGTGATGGGTATATGGGAACGTTGTGCTATTGAAGTCCATTTTCCATCTCAGTCTAAAATTATTTCAAAATAAAAAGTTAAAATGAAAGCAATTCATGACCAATCAAATGGCCAATTTATTGTGCTCAACCACCAATGTACAGGACATTCAGAGGAAACAAGACAGATAGGATCTGCGGCGTCCAGCCAGTGGGAAGCTCTACAGGACAAATTACCCAGTTTCTCCAACAAAGAAATAACAAGGGAAAAGAAGAGTTGGACCAGGGTTCTGTCTCCTTAAAAAGAAGAGAAGGCACATGCCAACCACGCACAACATGCGGCCTTTATTTGGACTCTGGCTCAAATAAACAAACTGGATAAAAATAAGATTAAGAATGTCTGATACAACTAAACTTGACCACTGACTACATAGATAGATGCTGATTTTCAGGATTTATTGTTTGTGTGGTTTGTTTTTCCTAGATTGTATTTTGGCCATGCTTTACCTTTTAAACTCCTTATATTATAGCGATGCCTGCTGAACTGGGAAAGACTGACAAGAGATAGCAGCCAGGGATTATCATGCAGTCATGAGGAAACAGGGAGGCATCAGCTTGGAGTCAAGATCAACTATAAGCTGCTAACTGTTGAAGGAACAAGAAACTGTGGAGTTCTGTGTATGACTGAAATTTAATTGTTTTTTTTAATTCATAGAAAACAGGCTACACAAATGGAGAGACCATGCCCAGACACTGGCAATAGGCAGCACGTGACTGTGATCCCCCCAAAATAGAACAGGCCAGGGGAGCCCTGGGAGCCCCCTAGCTCCCAAACCAGGAAGCAGAGAGGGGTGCTAACAAAGTTGAGGGGACCCAGAGGGACAGCCATTGAGGAAGGCCAAGAAAACTACCCTTCTTGGGGAACAAAATGTCAGAGAGGTAGGGGTGGCACAAAGAGAGATCCCAGCACTCTGAACTGCTAGCTAAGTACCGATCTTCAGGTAAACAGGATGACCCTTCCTAAGGCCAGGGACAGCACCGTCAGAAACAAAGCTCATTGCCACTGAGCTGATCCCCACGCCTAAGGCTAATCCTTCCACTCAGCTGCCACGGGGCCAGGTGGGTACTACCTTCAAGGCTGCTCTCAACTTTCACTCCACACTCCCTGCCATCGGGGTCAATTCCTACTCTGAGCGACCCTATTGGCTTCTCATGCTGTCACCATGACAGAAGCAGACTGTGGTGAGTTTGAACGGCTGCTGGCCTTTCGGTCGGCAGTCAAGCACTTCACCCACTGCATCACTCAGAGGCACAGCCCCAAACTAAGCCCACTGCCTTTGCGCCGATTCCAACCCAGAGTAAGCCTCTAGGGCTAAGGAGACCAGCCCCATAAGGGTTTTGCAAGGTTGTGAGGCGGGACAGAAAGAGATTTCAGTGAAGAGCTGAGTGCTTTAGCCACTGTGCCACCAGGGGTCCTTGCCGGAAAGGAGCAGATCTGATCATTCCAGTGAACTTCCAGAGGGCGAGGAACACTTCAGATTCCCACCAGCCAGCGTGCACAGACTTGGCCTCCGGAACTGTTCACGTCACTCCCTCTGGTGGTGTTTCTGTCACTGCAACTCCAGCACCGGGAGACAGCAGGACGCCAGTGAGGGCCCTCCCCCAGAACTGTCCTGCTTCTCATGCTGAGCCGGGAAGCAAGGTGGGGGCCCAACAGCAATTCTATTAGGAGGGCTTTTCACAGAGAGCTTAGAAATACGAGCCTCAGTCTGCTTTTGACGTGCCCTGCCTTCACTGAAGCCACCTGCACGTTTCCCTCTGGTCCGCTCTGAACCCCAGCACATCTGTCCTAGTCTTCCAGCCCTTGCCCGGCTCCTAGCACACCTGGTACAGACAGTGGTGCCCATGTGATAGGGAGGTGGCCCACCAACCAGGGGCCGTGCTGGGAACCACCAGCACTCACCCAAGCCATTTCCAACACACATGAATGCCGGACAAGGGCAGGAAATGACACATTGGACTGGGGCTGAAGAGCACTTAAGTGAGGCAGGCCACCCAGTAGACCCCGCTGTGGCCCTCTCCCTGAGATGCAAGTTTTATGGCAGAGCCAGGGAGATGACCATTGACACATCCTAAGGACACACGGGGGCATGTTTCACTGTCCCATAAGACCCGACCAGCTTCGGCGCTCCAAGGCCTCCTGTCAAATGGCACAAAAGTGCATGTCTTCCAGAGCCCAGTGTCCCAGTGGCTGTTGTTGCCAGGGTACACCAAGGTGGCCCTGAACACACGGCAACCCCATGCACAGTGAAGCCAAGCCCCATCTAGTCCTACGTCACCCTGGAGAATGGTTTTGAACCAGACTGTTGTGACCCACAGCTGGTGGGCTCTGAACCTGGATCTCCAGCATACCATGAAACAAACTCCCTGCCACAGAGTCCACTCCGACTCCTAGCCAGCCTGCGGGACGGGGGAGAGCTGCCCAAGACTGTCTCCACTCAGCCGCTGCTGGCCACAGATACAGTCCACGTTCCAGCAGCATCGGAACTCAGCTCCTAACCCTCTGTCCCCTCCCGAGAGTCCTCCTGCTCTCTGTGCCTCCATTTCTGAAAAGCACAGGGCTGCCCCACCGCTCCCTACCAACTCTTCTCTCCTTACCTCACGTTCAAGCCCAAGAAGAGCCAGATGTTAGCCTTTGTGTGGGGCCCGGGGCCCTCCACGCAGGCACACCTGCTCACCTCCAGTTTCAATGCAGGGATACGGTGGGGGCGGCTGCCTCCAGTTCCCACTGGGGTCCTTCATGTGAGAACGGTCGGAAGCAAAGTGCTTCAAGTAGGAATCTGCGCGGACCACTCTGAATTTCCTGCCAAAGAATCAACACAGAGGCCATGAGGGAGCAGCCCATGGGAAATGCTGCCCTGGGGTTTATGGGGCTCGGTTCTGAGGTGGGCGTCTGGGCACCACTGATGCCAGACAAATACACCTGTGGCTTTATGACCAATGGAAGAAGCCACGTGAAAGTGGCCCACTGAGAACGTCAGGGGTTTGAAATGCATACTCTCTGGAGTTTACCCTATCTCCCACTCCACCCACTTCTAATAAACTCAATCGATAAGGGGCATTAAATCCAACAACCAGCAAAAGCAAGAAAACCCAAGGAGCAGCCAGCCCGCTGCCGGTGACTCCATTCCGACTCCTGGTGGCCCTGCAGAGGCTTCCCCAGACTGCCAGTCTAAGGGAGCAGCCAGCCTCATTTTCCTCTGGTGGAGTGGCTGCTGGGTTTGAACCACCAGCCTTACCATTAGCAGTCCAACGCTTACCCCATGGTGTCACCTGGGTGCCTTGAATCAAAGAGAGACAAATTAAAAATAAGCAACGATGGGGAGTTCTTTAGATGGTGCTCAGCCTAGGGCCCGAGGTTCAAACCCACCAGCTGCCCCATGGGAGAAAGCCGAGGCTGTCCCACTGTTTGCAGAGCCTGGGAAACCCTACTGGATCGAGGATCCACTCTACAGCAGAAAGTTTGGTTTGGTTCAATTTTCCATCACCAAAAAGAACAACGCATGCGAGAGAGAATGTGGTGGATAAGAGTTCAGCAGCTCACTCGGGTCCTCGCCTTGCCCTTCCCCTGCACCTCTGCTTGTGGCCATCAGCCTTCCAGGTGACAGGCCCCTGGGGTGGGCTCCATGTTCCTGCCAGCACTGTGTGCTCTGCTCGGGACCCGTTACCCAAGCTGTCAAACTTCAATTTTCAGTAAAAGGCCATTGGATTTTAATTTCCAGGTTTTATTTCTATAGCCTTTGCCCACCCCCTCGCTCCTCAACGCCCCCCACCTCAAAACCCAGTATTTTCAATTGAATGTGATTGTCGTCATTGGATGCTGTCAGTTGATGTTGAAACAGTGACCCTACATGCCATAGCAGTCCTGCCCCAGTGGGGAGTGGGGGTTCTCTAGGCTGTAATCATCCTGGTGGCACCATGGTTGAGGCACTTGGTTATGAACCAAGATGGGGGGAGTTCAAACCCACTCTGTGTCTTGATTTCTGTACACACTGCAACCAAGACGACCCCACAAGGCGGTTCCACTCTGCACAATGGGGGTCACTGTGCATTGGAATTGGCTCAGGGACACCCAACAGCAGCAACGACGCCATTTCCCAAGGTCCCGGCGCTCACAGGGCCAGATGCAATGTTACTGTACAATACGCCGGGCAGACCTAGACCGTGCAGGTGACCTGGATCGTGGATTCAAAGAGCCCCCTGTGGATCATGACTATCTATCACCTGCAGGCACCTGGGGCTTAAAACGATCACTGAATACAAATACCTATCTGCCTGTCATCTGTCCAGGAGATACTGAAACATCTCCAGAGCTGTGACACTGGCCCTCAAATTCAGCCCCAAACTTCCCGCTCTTTCTGCAGCACAGTGAGAACAAGCACTCAGGGGCTATCTGAGGACCCGGAGAGGACAGATTGGGTGAGCGCAGCCCAAGGCTGGGAAATCCCCTGAAAAACAAGGCCGTGGGCAGCTGGGATTTGATAAGTGTGGCTGTTTCCCTCAGCTTCCTCTGCTTCAAATCAAGTTCTCGTGGTTCATACTCATAAAAACATATACCTCCAGCCAATTTCTATGCTGCCTTTGCAAAGAAGACAGGAATACACTAGGAGAGTAAAATACACACACACACACACACACCCATGCGCGTGCGCACATGCACACACCTCCTGTATCTTACAACGCTGTACAAAGGTCCAGAGCAGCGACTAACTGGGTGACACAGCTGGGTGCAGCGGCCTTTGAAGGCCGACCAATGTTACAAAAACACAATACAGAACTCTGGGCCGACCAATGTTACAAAAACACAATACAGTGAACCCTTGTTTATCGCGGTTAATCGGTTCTAGACCCTACCGTGATAAATGAAATTCCGTGAAGTAGGATTCCTTATTTGTAAATCAAATATTTTCGTAGTTAGAGCATAGAGGACATGAAAAAACACCCTTTAGTCACCATTACACTCGTA